TAAACACAAATTAAACTGAAATAATCTCACTGGTTTGTGATTTATGGTAATTTAAAAATAAATATTTTGAAAAATGACAAAACAAAATACATTATAGACATTTATTTTCCAACTTTTCCCAAACCAAAACCTACAGATATACCTTTAGTTTACTGGCACGGTCTCGCTTTTATAACAGTGTTACGAATACAGAAAAACCGAATAAATAGAAATATGTTTACGCTGAAATATCCCTAATTATTCCAATTACAGATTTTTTTAAACTTGTTGCTCTAATACCGAAACTAAGTATAATGTGAACCTTTTTGGTTGTTGTTTTATTGATACTTCAAATTTCGCGTTATTGAGCATCTCTCTATTGAATAATAAATGGGTTTGGTTCAGGATTCTATAAATTATCTTTCCACACTATTATGTTAGGCATTAAATTTTAAAAGAGAGTACTAAATAATTCAATGATATTCGAAGAACTTTAAACTCCAGAAAAAATACCCGTTAAAAAATGATCAATATATATACATTACAGTGATTACTTGCGTCAAACATCACGTTTTGACCTTCCTGTATAGTAAGGTTTACCTACAGCGTTTCAATAACTGGGGAGAGGGGGGGGGGTTATGGGGATTTGTTTCTTTCTCTCTTCTACATAAAAACAAAGCCAAATGTTTAAGTCCAACAATAATTTTTTGTTCGTGTAAAAAAATGATATAAGGTAATTTTCTTTATTACTACGCAAAATTTTTAAAAAGGAATAAAACGTTTTTTTATTTCTGTAAACAAAGCGAAATGTTTAAAATAAAACTAACTTTTTGTGTTGCACAGAAGCCTTTGTTTTTGAGCTATCTGTGCTGTATCCACTTCGAGTATTGAAACCCAGCTTTTAAAGTTAAAAGCCGCTTAGGCTTACCGCTGAGCGACTGGGGTGCATGCTGCGCAGAAGAAAGAAAAAAAAAAGATTATATGTCATAGAAGTATAATTCTTTTCAACAGGTATTATTACTCTGAAATTGTCTGACGATTTCGTAACAGAATTGAGAAATTCTATCAACCAGTAAAAACCTAAGCACAATGCTGTAGCCGCAATGTCAGTCATGTTGGTAAGCATACATGTAAAAGTCACGGACTGCTTGTCACTAAATTTTAATACATGTTTAAGAATGTGAATCAATAAAAGGTTGGCACTTATGAAATTCCAATTTTATTTCTATTCAAACTTCTTTTTTCCTACCAAAAGCATTTGTTGGAGAGTGCCTTAAATAAATAAAAAAACAACATCGTATGTCTTTTCAAACTATCTTGATACGCTGCTTATATTTTTTCAAGAATATCCAAATTAAGTAATGTCGAAGGCTCTATTAGCTACCACTATTCTTTATTTCGAGGCTGATCCCTTGACAGTTTCCGCTCGTCGATGCCTCTGCTTGCACAAACAACGAGCTTCTTCAGCCCCACTAAGACTACCGATCATAGAGATAAGATGATGCTGGTTATTGATCGCCAGCGAGACAAGTCCAGCCGCCGTCTGTGTTGACGGCTGTTCACGAACGAAGTTTGCCTACATTCTGTCAAAATGCCAGTAACAATGCACTCGTGTTACAATAACCCGAGCACCTGAATGGCAGCTACACGACGCCACCCTAAAACCTACCATTCTTTTCACCTAACCAAAAACTGCTTCAACTTCGAAATGTTTGAAAGAGCATCAATTCTGATATGGATGATCATTACCCAGGCTCTTACAGCTTGTCTGTTTTCATTTTTCAATTACATTAAATCATTATCACATTTAAGAAATCATAGCATTTCAGTATACGATATCTTAGCGAGTATTAACGTCTTCTAATATTTCAGTATACGATATCTTAGCGAGTATTAACGTCTTCTAATATTTCAGTATACAATATCTTAGCGAGTATTCACGTCTTTTAACATTTCAGTATACGATATCTTAGCGAGTATTAACGTCTTTTAACGTTTCAGTATACGATATCTTAGCGAGTATTAACGTCTTTTAACGTTTCAGTATACGATATCTTAGCGAGTATTAACTTCTTTTAACGTTTCAGTATACGATATCTTAGTGAGTATTAACGTCTTTTAACATTTCAGTATACGATATCTTAGCGAGTATTAACGTGTTCTAACGTTTCAGTATACGATATCTTAGCGAGTATTAACGTCTTTAAACATTTCAGTATACGATATCTTAGCGAGTATTAACTTCTTTTAACGTTTCAGTATACGATATCTTAGCGAGTATTAACTTCTTTTAACGTTTCAGTATACGATATCTTAGTGAGTATTAACGTCTTCTAATATTTCAGTATACGATATCTTAGAGAGTATTAACGTCTTTTAACGTTTCAGTATACGATTTCTCGGCGAGTATTAACGTCTTTTAACATTTCAGTATACGATATCTTAGCGAGTATTAACGTATTATAACGTTTCAGTGTATCATATCTTAGCGAGTATTAACGTCTTCTAACATTTCAATATACGATATCTTAGCGAGTATTAACGTCTTTTAACGTTTCAGTATACGATATCTTAGCGAGTATTAACGTTATTTAACATTTCAGTATACGATATCTTAGCGAGTATTAACGTCTTTAAACGTTTCAGTATACGTTAGAAGACGTTAATACTCGCTAAGATATGATACACTGAAATGTTAGAATACGTTAATACTCGCTAAGATATGATACACTGAAATGTTAGAATACGTTAATACTCGCTAAGATATCGTATACTGAAACGTTTAAAGACGTTAATACTCGCCAAGATATATTTTTACAGAAATGTTAGAAGATTCTAACATTTCAGTATACGATATGTTAGCGAGTATTAACGTCTTTTAACGTTTCAGTATACGATATCTTAGCGAGTATTAACGTCTTTTAACATTTCAGTATACAATATCTTAGCGAGTATTAACGTCTTCTAATATTTCAGTATACGATATCTTAGCGAGTATTAACGTATTCTAACATTTCAGTGTATCATATCTTAGCGAGTATTAACGTATTCTAACATTTCAGTGTATCATATCTTAGCGAGTATTAACGTCTTCTAATATTTTAGTATAAAGTATGAAAGTCTAGCGTTAATCTATAGTAAAACTCATGAAATATATTAATATTGAAACCAAAGGAAAAAGGGAAGCTATCATACTTAAAATATTTTCTTGCCTTTCAGATGTCACTTTCATTAACATAAACTTTAACAATTTTCATCGCCCTGCTTAAAACAAATAATCTGGTAAAAGTCTATTTTGATTTCACTGTTTGACTGAGATATATACAGATAATTCGTTTTTATGTACAATTGGAAGCACGTTTTAATACATCATTTTTTTGTTGTTGTTTTTGCAAGTTTTTTTACAGATGCAAACAAAAAGTTCTAGGTTTATATATATATATATATATTTTCTTCTGAGAACACATACGTGGTTTCACTAAGTAACAGGTTTAAAATTTGCTCTACTAAGGCTTCTCTTATTGATATTTACATGATAATCTGAATTACTACCACTAAGCATCTTCTATTAATCGTAGGATATATTTGAGCTCAATCAACTAAATTATAAACACAGTACAAACTAGAAGTGTATAGTTAGTTCACTACACAACACAACGAGTGATCCTCAAATTCGGTATAATGAAGTATCGAGATTGCAGCCAAGGTACAGCAGAGTCTTTATCAGACGAAATCGATCTATTTATCGTATTTGACGAAACTCTACTGGCTATTTATTGTCTTAAACAAAGTGGAATCTTAAGGTATGGAAAACATACGATACGCTGTTGTTCTCTGTCATTGTATTATTTTCAACTAATTCTGAAATGGAAGTGGGTGTACTCAAAATAAAGATATTAAATCGATATTCAACTGACTGCCTAAGGACATTTGTTGTTATTCTGCATGAATTTAGAAAGGAAAAACAATTTTTATGAACATTCAAATAAATCACAAAAGATGAGTAGTTTTTATCACCAGAAGATGTGGTGAAAACCACTGATAGGCCTGATTATAAGCATTTGAAACTGAATAGTACAAGTTTTGGAAACGACAGTGAAATAATGCCATTAGAACTAGAAATAAACTTATTGTTTGTTCCTAATCGCTGATAAAGATAATTTTTTACTAGTTGGATCATCATCCAAAGAATGATGTTTATCAGAGGTTCAAAAATGTTATTTTCTTGATTTCTTAAATAACAAAAGCCAGGGTTTTCAAGTGTCATCGTGAAATTATCAGAACCAATAATACTAAGATAATAAATCTTGTAAATATGAACACCTTTAAACATACCGCTTTTAAACGCAGGTATTCTGGTATATATCAGTACAGTAAATAAAGTTGCGAAAATCGAAATGCCGAAAATATTTATTCAGAAGAAATTAGTCACAAAAATAGTGTACTTTCGATGTGAGAACTGACAAGACTTTAGATGTGAGAACTGATAAGGCTTTAGATGTGAGAACTGATAAGGCTCGTCCACAGATTTCAGTCTAGGCATGTGAAGGTTTTGTCACAATATTATTTTTCAGCTGAAGGGATGTCGGTGTAGATGAAGTTTATATCACAATAAAATTTTTGTTATACAGTTCCAACATAAAAATTTTGTTTGTGTTGTTTTCTTTTGTTATGAAGGTATTTCGAACTAATAATGTCTTGAATAAAGCCTTAGGTGCAGTTTCACAAATACCAAAAACAGTGCTTTCATGATACATAGTATTTATCGATGTATTATTCTGGAATGGAATTGTATCTATTTTCATTATTATTTGGGCATAAACAGCTGTGTTGGTAAGAGATGAGAAACTATAGTTGTCTGGTCACACTGATTATGTATATTTTGTTACTTAAGGTGACAATGTTTCGTGTGACGAATTATAAAATAATTGGTGAAGAAAATGTAATCGAATTAGAAGCTATTTCACACTAAAAATTACGAAGCTTTTAACGAAAAACAGGCCATATTCTTCACGACTTACTTTTTTACGGGAAGCTTTCCATCCCTGTCTGTCATTAGATGTAATTTGGTGTAAGCCTTTTCGAGGAAAGTGGTAGTGGAGGCATTGATGGCCATCAGGTTGTAAGCCATCTTCAGCAGCTCGTCTGTCCATTCCTAATGGTTTCCAGAAAACATATTTATTCATTATGTGAGACAATGATCCACACCTCCTATACCTAACACACACAAACTGTATCGCTTACTGAAACATTCCACGTGACTGAGCAGTACGTATAATTTTGTACATACAAGAATATATACATTTAGTGTATGTTTCACCCTTAAGTGAAGATTTACATATAACTTGGGCGATTCTAGAAACTTCGTTAACTCTCAAACCACCCACTTGTTTTGATATCATTTACTATCAGTGACATCCACAATTTGCATCGTATTAAGTTATTTTACGTTTTTGACTGTTGCAACACTCAGTGTAAAGAATTAAATCACTCATTTAATGTGTTGACTGTCGCAACACTTAGTGTAAAGACCTAAATCACTCATTTAATGTGTTGACTGTCGCAAGACTCAGTGTAAAGACCTAAACCACTCATTTAATGTGTTGACTGTTGCAACACTCGGTGTAATGAACTAAATCACTTATTTAATGTGTTGACTGTTGCAACACTCAGTGTAAAGAACTAAACGACTTATTTAATGTGTTGACTGTTGCAAGACTCAGTGTAAAGACCTAAACCACTCATTTAATGTGTTGACTGTTGCAAGACTCAGTGTAAAGACCTAAACCACTCATTTAATGTGTTGACTGTTGCAAGACTCAGTGTAAAGACCTAAACCACTCATTTAATGTGTTGACTGTTGCAAGACTCAGTGTAAAGACCTAAACCACTCATTTAATGTGTTGACTGTTGCAACACTCAGTGTAAAGACCTAAACCACTCATTTAATGTGTTGACTGTTGCAAGACTCAGTGTAAAGACCTAAACCACTCATTTAATGTATAAAAGACATAGTGGACACTGGCGGTAATAAATAGGATTTATTATATTATATTGATATTTTGTTTTTGTTTTTTACATAGAATTACTTTATACGACTTTTACGTTATTAGGAACCCTGTAACTAACAGTAACTTAAGGGTTAATATGATACATTCAATAAATTTCACGTTTTCAACATGTACCTCACGCAGTATCTTCCATTACACATATATAAAGATCTGTTAAGGTACCATTACCGATTAATAAAATATTTAAAACTGACAAAGTCAAACTATCCTAGGAAGTACAGACTCTGCTTTCATAATGTTGTGAGTACAACTATAAATGTCAAATTATCTTCAGAGTTAATGAAAGTTGATACTCATCACCTGGTATCGTTTGGGCTAAACTCTAGAATTCTAGCTACTAAATCAAAAAATACAAATAAAGAACAAATATCAATGGTCTTACTGAATAATGTTGTTATAATTTGACGATATTTTGGTATTCGTTATTTTCAACCTGAACAACATCTTATGCGACGTAAATGCTAAATGCCCAGGTCAAAGACACCAAGGTTCAAGTTGTCAATAATATAAAATTGCTGATCTGAGGAGTTCACTAGTCTGTTTGTTTGTTTGTAATTAATCACAAAGCTACACAATCGGCTATTTGTGCTCTGCCCACCACGGGTATCGAAACCCGGATTCTAGCGTTGTAAGTCCACAGACATTCTGCTGTGCCACTGGGGGGGGGGGCGAGTTCGCTACTCAGCAGCACCCATCGCCAATAGTGTACTTTTAACTTAATAGCAAGATTGACTGTCAGGGTTATAACACCCCCAATGAAGAAAAACTGGGCGTGTCTTTAGCAGCATATGATGGCTCGAACCTTGGTCCTTCTGATACGTCGCCAGCAAACCAATCAGTAGGTCAAGCCCGATCCGGTTTTCGTGCTTATAGACGACACTTGTTAAACAGTAGTGGTTAAGTTTAAAATTATCTTACGGCAAATAATGATAATAATAAAATAAAAATGTACGCAACTCTCTTAAAGAAATTTTCTGAACCATCATTTACTAATCATACGAAAATAAACCAACTTCATGAAGAAAAAACAACAAATATGAAAGATTTGGTTGTTATTAAGCACAAAGAGCTGTCTGTGCTTGACCATCACGAGTATCGAAACCCGGTTTTTAGCGGTGTGAGCCCCCAGACTTAACACTGAGCCACTGGTGGTGGTGGGGGGACAAAGAAAGAAAATCTGTACACTACTGTTTCAAAACAAACAAAAAAAACATTGAAATTTCTCAGCAACAGAACCAGTCCTACTCATTAGCTATTTTCACTGGGCCAAAACACTACACAAATAAATACAAAACTAATTTTGGCGTAGTTCTGAATATATGAAATGAATACTAGTTGTAAAGAGTAATAGGTAATCTTCGTGTGATTCTAGACGAAACGCTTCATTTAGTTCATAAGACACCTTCGACGAATGGTCCGAATTAAACCAGCATTGATTATATACAAATGATTTTGCTTCCTTGGACTCGTGTCATTATCTATAAATACCTCAATACTGTATACGTTTTCTTACATTCAGTAAATTATAACTAACACTTCTCTTTCAAATGAATGGACGTGTATCATATTAAGAAAAATAGTTAGCCAAGTTTGCACTAGATGGCGTAACCACAAACTATACTAATTCGTCTTGTACCTCATCCAATAAAACAAGTAGCAATGAATAGAAACATTCCATTCTACACACAACTGATTATAGTTTGATGATTGTCTTTGCCTCAAGCTGTATATATTGTTGTAATATCGTTATTTCGTTGGAGGATTGTTTTAAATTATCTAGTGAAAATAATTCAACATCTAGTACTTTATTATCTCCTTTAATGTTTCTATAGACTAGAACACTTGTACTACTGTAAATTGCTACAGGCCTACGTTACAAATTAGTTAACGCATGTAAAACAAATCAAACTAATTTTACAAAGTAACCGCGGTAGTTAAAACACTGACTGGTTCACTGTATCTTGAAATCACACTTCACAAATATCTCGTATTTATAATTTAATTTCGAATATGCTAATACACTTTACATCACAGTTTCTTAGAATTTTCGATATTTTATAGGCCTATTTTATTAAACCTTCTTATCTTAACGTAATCATTAAGACCCTCAAGCTAACACTTCAATTACAACATTAAAAATATAGATTATAACAATATATAAAGCAGGAGTGTCGTCTGTGCCTTTGTGTTAACGCTTTTAACGTGTAATTTTTTTTGACGGATCGGAACCTTGATGACACTTTCTGGGGTCCTAGTCCCGTGTGTTAAACAGGTACGTCAACTAATATTAAAAGAACCGACAATGGAAAGATGCTTTTTAATTTTCCAACCTACAGCAACAAAGCTTGCATGCCATATGACGGTTCTAAACAGATTTTAGTTATGTTAGGATCGTCAACCCTGTGAAAAACAATAAATGTTTACGATTGTTATGCCTAATACAGAATAATGATAAAACTAACGCTCGAATTATTCATACATTTTTCAACATTGTGCACCAAATTACTTGTGGGTCCATAACTTTGTTGGATACTGAGTATCTAATACCTTAGGAGTCACTTAAAAATGTAAACAAAAAATACCACCAATATTACAATTAATCGCAATAAATTCTATTGGAGTACCTGATGTATTTCACATGGATTAATTAGTGATTTCATCCAATTTTGTTGGCTAGTTAATTACGATGGGTATTATTGCAGCAACCAAATATATAATAGTTACGCAACACGTGGACTCAACTGGTAGCAAACGGTATAAAAACAAGTTGATAAGTTAAATATTAACAAGTATTGTGAGGTGATCATAATTCTATATTTATCAAAACCCTAAAGTCAGTCTTACCTGAGCAGTTTCTCTTCGGTTACAGCAAAAATTGATAAAGTTGATGTTCACTAGGTCAGGACCATACACCACCGTCACCGTCTTGTCCTCCAAGGGGGTGTCCTGAGCCCCCATGGTCACTGTATCTCGAAGCTTCCCTTCCAACGAAAAAAAAAGAAAAAAAATATATATAAAAAAAGTAGAAATAATATTCCAATTACTA